CGATATCCTGCAATTGATCACTCAACCACATTCTAGTACTACAGTATAAAAAGCATGTAGATGAGACCTATCAGGATTGAAACAGGCAGGTGCCAGGAAACTGAGTATGCACAGTGCAGAGTGCAGAACACCATAAGCACTACTCACCAGGCAGGCCATGAACTCGCGGGACGAGAGCGAGATGGCAAACGAACACACAACGTCAAACGTGTGCTGGTAGAGCGATGTTCCTCCTGTACTGCTGCAGCAAGAGAGCAAGCACACAAACACACACAAACACACAGCCATATTCCATTTCACACCATCTCCAAGACACAACATTCTAACGTTAGTGAGAGCGGGCACACATAGCACACATAGCTACACGTAGGCTAGATCATGTCAGAGATCTACAGCCGCGGCAAAGCACACACAACACCATGAACAGCTCATAATCACATACATGTTAAATTAAATTCTCGTTTCCATCCACAACACTATTGGTCAAATTTCAGTCCAAACCTACATGCACGCCGAGGACACACACACACACACACACACACACACACACACACACACACACACACACACACACACACACACACACACACACACACACACACACACACACACACACACACACACACACACACACACACACTAAGCACACACACTAAGCACACACACACTAAGCACACACACACTAAGCACACACACACTAAGCACACACACACAAGAGTGAGAGCAAGAATAACAGGGCAAAGCTAACCCATTTTCTACTTGTCTTTCTGCTGCTGCTGCTGCTGCAGCACTAGGCTGTCCAGTGAAGCTGCCAGAGCTGAGTGAGAACTCTGCCTGACAGTGAGGCAAGGCTTGGAACAGTAGCTCCAGCAGAGGAAACTGTGAGGATTCCAACTGCTCCGCCGTAGAGGGTAATATCAACTGATCGCGCACCGAACCTAAAATAGAAAGAAATAGATTCCATACACCGGAGTTAGAGGTAAATGAAGTGTGCATGTACTACAAACAGCAATATCGTAGTAGTGGAATGGTGATGCCTGCTGAATGTACTCAATGGCCATGCTTTCTGGCACTGTTTAAGTCTGACTCTGATCACCTCTGTTCTGCAATGGTCACTGCAGTAAAATCATTTGTCCCAAAGACGTGGCCGACTATCTGGAAGCACTAAGACTTTCAGGTCTTATACCTCTGGACAAGCGTCCCAGTGTGCATCTGTTGCCGCTGAGAGGTTTACAGGCGGACAATAGGACAGGTGGTGATGAGAGTTGTAGAGAGAGAGACGCTGCTGGTGTAGCGGTCCCCCGGAGCAGATGCACATTGGGGCGTGTTTGCCGGGGAGAGCTGCATGTATAGAAACTAAGAGCGTGCAGCTTCTGACTTTTCTGCATGGGTGTCTTGTCACTACAAAATTCCTGGATTACATTATAGTCAGTGCAGATATGCAGCGAGGAAGTGGCGTTGTGCATACAACATGCTCTTGTGGTGGTATTGCCCTCACATTCTGCTGAGTTCAAATACACGACTGTGTCCAGCATTCAAGACCAATGTAGTGAACTGAAAACGGCATCTCTACAACTGCACACAGCTAGATTCTCACCTGGTAGGTGTGCAAAGTGTTGGAAGAACCAGAGTGTACAGTGCAAGACACCCAGCAACCGTTCACCATCCTCTCCTCCGTTAGCTGGGTAATACGACAACAGTGTACGCACACACACACAACACACGTGCGCGCACACACACACACACACATGTGGACACACACACACATACATACACGCACACACGCACACACACACACACACACACACACACACACACACACACACACACACACACACACACACACACACACATGTGCACGCATTTCATACGCTTGCACGATCTCAAGACCAAGACACACACGTGCCGAGATGAATTCAGGTACCCATGCCCATGTCACTGAAGCAATGAAACTAAATACACACACACAGGAGAGGGTGATGATGACGATGCTGATGACCATGATCTGGATGCCTCAGCATCGCAGCCCATTACAGCGTCTGGTAATTCCCGAGTTGATCGGGTTCAATTAATCATCCCACATGATCCAGTTCGTGATGCAGTGGGCGATGCAGGGCACATAGCAAGGACAATGCGTGCGGCCAGAATTGGGGACGTGTGTCGTCGCCAAGCTGACATCAAACCATGCCTGGCTGCAGAGCAACAGTTCCTGGTTGAAGTCGCCAGTGAGAAGGGCCTGTCGTCGTGGCCCACGGTGGCTCCCTGCTAGCAGGATGGAACAATCCTGAAGAAATCTGATTTCCGGGATGCTTTATGCATTCGTTACGGTCATCGGTTGAGTGGTTTGCCGGAGATATGTGTGTGGAGTGGCTCTCAGTCCCCTGCGCTACTGGTGGATATACCACTGCACGCCACAACGAGGTGAGAGACCTCATCGCCACTCATCCTGCAGCATTCGCACTGGCTGGATTCCAAGCCGTGAGCCAGCTCAAGTCCCATGAGCTACTGGCAAGAAGAATCAGTATGCCCGGCGTGTGGTGAACGCCAAGCGGTGATTGTTCACCCGCTGCTGTTCTCAACCTACGGTTTCAGTGGTCCTGAAACGAGTCAGTTTTTGAAGTCTCACTCGTTGTAGACCAGGACTTGAACTGTCCCATGGTCATTGACTCATTAGCATGCTGAGCAGAGCACCCGTCTCTCGCTTTGCCTCTTGCTGTGGGCCAACAGATGCCGCATGGGCTCTTTCTGTGGCTCAGTGTCGCCAGGCTGATACGCGAGTTGCTTTATGTCTCACAACAATCATTTTGGTAAGTATCACATTATCAATAAAAGTTTGGTAAAAAAGAGAAAAAAACACAAGAGAACGAGTTATGCAGCAACTATCCACGACTGTAACAAAATGATAAACAGTCAGAAAGTGCGATAGTAGGGCACAAAACTGACAGGCTACTGAGACATTCAGCGACCCGAGACCTAGCTCCAACACATCTCCACATCTCTGCGGTCCTACGTAACCATACACCTTCCTAGTTGGAAGGCTGTTGGTTTGCGCACTGGAGAGGTGTTGGAGCTAAGTCTCGGGTCGCTGAATGTCTCAGTAGCCTGTCAGTTTTGTGCCCTATTATCGCACTTTCTGACTGTTTATCATTTTGTTACAGTCGTGGATAGTTGCTGCATAACTCGTTCTCATGTGTTTCTTCTCTTTTTTACATTTATTACTGGCTCAGTATCCAAGTTTACAAGTTTGGTACCATTTCATTATCTCCTTGAACAATATCTATTTGGTGATTTATCACCTCTGTCCTGCTTTATTCTGCTCTTCCTTCCAATCATCTTTTTCTTTCCTTTATTGGGGTTTCACAGTTTGTGTTTCATCGATTGATCGGGTTTACCCTTTCATCGATTGATCGGGTTTACCCTTTCATCGATTTATCAGGTTTACGGCTATGCTCGTACAAGAGGACCTTTCCTATGGCGACGACATCACTTACCTAGCTGGACCAGCGATGGTAAAATCTCAGACCATGATTCAACCAGTCTGGATAGAATGCTGGAAGTCTGTAGACCAAATACAAATGAACACGCCACACAATGAATGGCAGTGGCAACAACACCTATCAAACAACAGCAAACAATACGGCAAATACAGTAACACACAAAGAGTTTAGGATTGAGCACCTGAAATATACAAGTAGTAAATTGTTGGATGTCATTGCATACAGCGTCGACCTGCTGACTTACAACTTGCTTGACAACAGTTAGCAGTGTGTCGCTACTTGACCCGTCACTGCCTTTGCCCCGGTATAGAACAGCTGTAGAGCTACACAAAGTACCAACAACAAACACACATGGCCACACCGGTAACAACATCACCATTCGGAGGTAGGGCACGAGAGAGCAGATAGGAAACAGCGCCATGCCTTCATCCCCTCCATCAGGTGTCATGTCAACAACACAACAGCAGCAGGCACAGCAAAAGGAATGGCAGCTCAGCGACGGCCATACCATCAGCGGACAGTGATTCAGGAAAGACACAGGATGTAGGGCATACCTGTTAGCTCTCAACAGCATATCCAGCAGCACGAGATACGATGTATCATCCAGTGTTGTGCAGCTCTGGTACATCCAACAAACCAGAGAATACCAGCATGCACAGCCAATAAAACAGAACACAAAACACACAATACGTTGTATTTCTAGCCGGCAGAGCGCAGCGAGATAGGCGAGAAATGATTTCTCGCACAACATGTTTGGTTGCAAATATGGCATCTGGTGTGTTTCTTATCGTCGTTTCCTTTCCCGACTTCTTCACAGTTTTGAGTCACATCTGGCTGCGGCCAACTACGCCTCAATTTGTGTGTTGTCGCTATTGCTGCCTATGTCTCTATGTGTGCCAGTATATGTGGAGCGAGAAAGATATGAGAACATAGTCACTATCACAATTTGGGAGGTGCATTAGAGTCAGGACAAAAGAAGTTGCAGTCACATGCATTAACAAGTACATGTGAAGAGCTGACATGCAAAACCCGATAAACGCCAAGTTTGAGAAATTAAGATTTTCAGCTCAGTGTAATCAAAAGGTCGAGAGGCACCACCAGGCAAATTTCACATTCAAAATCTGACTAGAACCATTTCAAAACTGGAACCCAAATTTGGACTTAAGATACCAACCGCACATAAAAGAATCCTTTTTTGGCCATTATCCGAAAAGTGAAGAAATGGATTTAGCGGGTTTTGCCTCCCAGCTCTTCATGTACAGAGCCTATGGAAAACAACACACACTACCCATAAACCATTTCTAACGACATGCTGCTCACAGAACAATGAAAAACAGCCACCAACAAACAAACATTCAGAAAGGAAAGCTGAAGCTCACAAGTCACCACACTACTTCCACCACACAAGAAGAAGAACCAACCTGGAGAAGAGATGTCAAGGCATTTCCAAGGAAAGTCACCACCTTCACTGGGCTGGCTCCAGTTTGTGCTGCTGCCTACACAAGTAGAGGAAAAGGAACAGAAGAAAAAGTTGAGTAGAAAACACAAAAAAGGTCTGGAAACAAGCCAAAGAAAACTATCCCTATTGGTTTCAAGTAGCCCAGCAGGTCAAGAATAATGCTACAATGTACCAGCCAATAGCTAACTAAAGCCAGTTGAAACTTGAAAGCCTGAAGTACTAAAAGTACAGGCTACTGTATGCAAACTCAAGCAGGAAAGAAACGATGTTCTTCTGCTTTCTAGGCTTAGAGATGCAGATTTTGGCTCCAAAATATGTGTGAAAAGTGGCAGCCAATCAGAGAGTGCGACCTCTTGAAGGCAACACACCACACCAGTAGTACTAGTAGTAGGCATTTCACCCCATTTTTTGAAATCGCGTTTTTTCCAGGTTTATCATCGGTAATCGATGGTGGTGGGTATCACAAGGTCACACAGAAAATTTTATTGAAATCCACAGTGATACCACTCAGATATGAAGGGTTGAAGATAGGCAGTTGCATAAGGCGAAATCAATACAATTTGTGGCACCAACAGCATCTCCGAAGTATCATCAGTGGATATAGTCACAAAACATCAGAGTGTTTTTTTCAAGCACACATCACTCACTTACACCAACAACCCTGTATGGATCGAAACAAAACAGATCAAAGTTCAGAATAGGCAAGAATACGGCAATTGTGACCGCAATCACTATAGCAACTCCATAGCAACCCATAGCAACGCCATAGTAACCCATAGTAACAGCTTCAGTTTGCTGTGAAATGAACTGATAACGACATACTGGCAGGCTCCTGCGGGTACTAAAGCGTAAGAGCTATAAAGACATTCTTCTGGCACAAAAACAACACAAAGCTTCCTCGTTGTACGCCGTACACCGCAACGTGGAGGGTAAGCAAGCGCGCGCGCGCGCGAATTGCTGCACAGGACATTCGTGCCCACAGTCATGCCATCTCAAGTGATTCCAAGTTGGCAAGAAGTTCCTCAGGACCTCTGTTGGTAGCTTCTTTCCATGGTGTGATATCTGCCTCCCTCTCCTTCAACTGCTCCATGCAGCAGTCATGAATTGCCTGCTGGTGAGCTTTGAAATTTTGGTGAAGCGTACCTGGCTGCGTATATCAAAGCATCCCCTCATCAGAGGGTTTCTCCAGCAGCCACTGTGCTTTTTGATTGTTCGTAAACATCAGTAGGCCTTTCAGCGCAACCGTGTCTAAACTTGGCTTTCAGTACGCTTTGAGAATTCGCCCAGGTAGGACGACGCATCGTCGTTCTCCTCCGCCTAAAGCGCATACTTCTCAGTGCCTACGTACATAATGTCTCCTTGCGCAGCGATGCGCAAGCCCTGGTAAACAAGAACTCTACTGTTTCCGAATGGAAAGACGACGCTGAAGACGATAGGCAGCGTTTCAAACGCGAGCAAACAACAGTTCTTTGTGAAAAACTCTTTGCTGGTAGTGTACGTGATCTACAACTCGCAAAAATGTACGCACTATGACGTATGTGGGATCTACTGAAAGCTGAACGTCAGAGCAACACGATGCGCCCAACTATCAGCCCGTACAACGAAGCATAGCGCGTACCTGTACAGTTTTGCGCATGCACTTGACTGGTGCCACGCAAGTACGCACTCTCACCTTAGCAAATTTTGACAGGTCCTGTCACGTGCCTGAAGTGCCTACTAGTAGTAACAGTTAGTAGCAAGGTCATGTCACAGCTACATGTACATACAGTGCAGCTACATGCTACAGCCACAGGCCATGTCACACATGCACATGTTAGTACTAGAGAGGTGGCATGCATACAGACTGTGACAGCTCACACCTTAAAGGGGAAGTATACCCTAAAATCAAATTTTCACCAGTTGTAGTCTTCTGGGCGCTGAGTCGAATGGTCTTGGTCCGAGGAAGCTGCGACGCTCCCTTCCTACTTGAATCCCAATCGAACTCGCGCACTTCCACCGAAACTGGGTGACTGCGCCCTACTAGATGGGGATTTGTATGCAAAATGTCACTAAAAGCGCCATTTCGTTCTTATAAAAGCACGGATGACCGCGATTGGCCCATATGTTGTAGTCTTTTGGACGCTGAGTCGACTGGTTTTGGTCCGAAAAGGCTGCGATGCAGCGTTCCTCCTTTATTCCCAATCGAACATGGTTGAACAAGCGGTCACGTGCTCCTGGGTGCCCAAATCACCTGGTCACCGCGCCAGCAGGTGACAAATTTCACACCAAGGTTCAACTCGAGTTCAACTCGAGTGACAGGACTGCACCCAAAAAAGGTCAAACAGGCTAGTAAGTTGTACCCTGCAGGCACGGTGACCAGGTGACTGGTGTACGCAGGAGCACGTGACCGCTTGTTCAACCATGTTCGATTGGGAATAAAGGAGGAACGCTGCATCGCAGCCTTTTCGGACCAAAACCAGTCGATTCAGCGTCCAAAAGACTACAACATATGGGCCAATCGCGGTCATCCGTGCTTTTATAAGAACGAAATGGCGCTTTTAGTGACATTTTGCATACAAATCCCCATCTAGTAGGGCGCAGTCACCCAGTTTCGGTGGAAGTGCGCGAGTTCGATTGGGATTCAAGTAGGAAGGGAGCGTCGCAGCTTCCTCGGACCAAGACCATTCGACTCAGCACCCAGAAGACTACAACTGGTGAAAATTTGATTTTAGGGTATACTTCCCCTTTAAGCAAGCAGTACATGGAGCTTGAAGAAAAAGAGTTGCTGTAGGCACATGACCTTTCCATGAGTCAAGGGCATTGGAAAATAGACTCCGTGTGATCTGCTACAAACCTATCAGCGTTTACCATACAATGTACAGTGTAGTTCAGAAGGACCAACAGCTCACGGAGCTGAAGCACAACACGACTGCCCATGTCTACAAAGTAGTCGATCCACTACACTGTCAAGAAACGAGTGTGCAATGATGTACAGCCATGTACTTTGAGTACACACAGTGGAGTGTTGTTTCACTGACCTGGTCTCCTACCAGCGTAGAAATGCATGCGTGAAGGCGGTCAACAACTGTCTCCGCAAGAACTTTCAGACTGCTGTCCATCTATGGACAAGAAAACGGACCAAACAGAACATAGCGACATGTACCGGAAAGAACATAATGGTGGAGAGAGCAAGAGAGTAAGTTACACTTATAAAGACAGGTAAGTCTAACAAATGAGAGAGAGTGGAAAGAGAGGGGAGGGGGGGAGAGAGAGAGAGAGAGAGAGAGAGAGAGAGAGAGAGAGAGAGAGGGGGGGGGAGAGAGAGAGAGAGAGAGAGAGAGAGAGAGAGAGAGAGAGAGGGGGGGGGGGGAGAGAGAGAGAGAGAGAGAGAGAGAGAGAGAGAGAGAGAGAGAGAGAGAGAGAGAGGGGGGGGGAGAGAGAGAGAGAGAGAGAGAGAGAGAGAGAGAGAGAGAGAGAGAGAGAGAGAGAGAGGGGGGGGGGGGGGAGAGAGACCAGGTTATACAGATTTATGTATGATCAAATCTGAAACTTGGAGTAAAGTCATGATAATCTTTAAAATAACTTCAGGTACGACGCAAGCCCTTGTTAGGATATACAAGTTAGACCTTGTGTCTTTACATGCAGCTCTTCCCACGTGTGGGTAGTGGTGGTGCTGGTGCTGGTGGCGCATGCGTGTTACGTGTGCGTGCCATGACATTCGTGATGACTAACTACACGTAGAGGAATTCTGCATGAGGACACTTAAATACATCACTGAAACGATACAATGCACACTAACCTTCACTGACTGGTCACTCATTTCGCCGCCAAATTTGGTGTAAAACCTGGCGGTGAGAGCCACATGGAAACATGGAAATGAGCACCGAGGGAATATGCTTCTCATCAAAATACGTTCGTTTGATTGCACTTCCATCGCTACTTCGAAGTACTCAAAGTAATGAATTTATAACAGTGTTTGAGACTACGTGTACATGATGCCAGCAACTGTCATAATATTCGTTCCTCTTTATACAGCCTCACCAAACTTCATACAATCTCCGTATTGAAAAAATAGTCAGTGACTCCATGCTAATTCACTGGCTATGGGAGTCGCAAGCAAACCAAACACCATCCCCCATCTGAGCAGCGTTTCACAATTGGCTGGCATCCAGAACAGTCTAGACTGCTGTATCCGAAGCCAGCTCACACTACACTACAGGGTCCTAAGCCGACCCAGATGTAACTGGTAAAGGAACAGATACCGCCAGGCATCCCGGCTAGGGGTGCACTAAAAGATGTCTCCACACTAGGCCTATTCCAAACATTGAATGTCTCACGGCGCCTTCCCGGCTGCCCTCACTGCACAGGCGTGACTCGTGACCAAGACTGCCACCGGCAACAAAACACACTCACTTCAGAAGGTTTCTCCAGGACTTGACCATCAGCGTGTTATCGAAATGAACACTCACAGCAGCCACGTCTTGCAAACACGTCCATACTGCATGGCAGTTGAAACAGCAACACGTACACAAACACACACACTCGCGCGCACATACACACACACACACACACGCACGCACGCACACACGCACACACACACACACACACACACACATGCATACACACACACACACACACACACACACACACACACAAACACACAACTGAAACTGCAGAATAACTCCGAAAAGATGCACAACACAGACACCTGAGAAGATCCAGAATGGAGAAGAGTAAAGAGTAATTGAGTAAAGTATCCAGCACAAAGTAGGCTGCAGCACGTCCCATGCTGTATTACCCGGGTATAAGGCAACCTTTATTCCCGTAGCTATGCAGAAGACGTTACTTCAGTAACGTCTGGCGCTAGCCAGGGTCCACACAGCTTTAATTTGGTGTTTGTGTGTTTGATTGTTTGTTTGTGTCACGCCTGGCGCTATCCCGTATCTGTCCCGTACTGTACCGTACCAGCAAAGACAGCTGGCCACAATATTTTTGTTTGTTTGTGCCATCGACATGCCTGGCGCTATCCCGTACCTGTCCCGTACCATCAAGAGTACGGTACCAT